ATCTGAAATACAATTCCCATCCATATCTCAACTGCTACATCCAATAGTGAGACATGTACCTAATTCAGAAATATCTGCAGGGCCACAAGTTTCTTACACTTCCTTGCTATAAGGTGAAAGTATTGCTTGTCACCGGAAACATAACAAGCAGTAAAAAAATAGAGAGACATCCCAGCAGATTTTACTTCTCTAGTCATTGCTGACTAAATTGAGCCAGCGTTGTCTGAAGACATTTCCATGGTCATTGGCCAGCATATCATGGAGCGCTGTTACTTCCCACCAAAGTGGCACTTATTTATCTACTCACATTTGCATGATCTAGGGCAGGGGTAGGCAACCGTGGCTCTTTTATGACTCATGGACTTCAACTCCCAGAATTCCTGAGCCAGCCATGCTGAGGGGAAAGGGAGAGGTTTCCAAGCTGAGCCATGCTGGCTCAGGAATTCTGGGAGTTGAAGTCTACGAGTCATAAAAGAGCCAAGGTTGCCTACCCCTGGGATAGGGGAAACCTTTACCTTTAGATAATTTATGTGATAATTATTATTAAATTTATTTGCCACCCATCTCTCATTACTGATAGAAATGTGATTGGTTTTATACCAAATTCATGCTTTCTCCATGCTGTTCACATATTTGAGATAAATGGTCTTGTTCTCTGGCATGAAGATTTTCAAGCTCATACTTAAATTTTTCAAGAATATTCTCCACTAGGATATTCCTTGGCAATCCAATGAGTCCTCCTCCTCTCAAGTACACAGTCTGAAACAAAGCCATTGTATAAAGAAATTTTTCTTTTAGTACCTGCCTTACACTCAAATTCTTTTAGCAAACAAATCTTTCAACCTAGTTTGTCTTCTTGTGGCCATGCATGCTAAACTATAGTCTTTGCCTTACACAACTGTTCATTTAGCAACCATTCAAAATTATGACAGTGCTGAACAAAGGGACATATGACCTGTACCTGAAGTTGCAATTGCTGCAGCGCCCCCACAATCATGAACAAAATTTGGGTGCTTGGCCATCTACCCACCCTTACATCTAACCACAGGTATGCTGCAATGCCCCCTCCATCTATTTCTCTCCCCCCATCTTGCCCCACTGGGTCTCTGCAGGCTTTGGACCTGCTTCTCCACACTGTTTGGGTTTGTATCCTGCCCCATTTCCCTTCCGCTGTACTGTATAGGAAGGCCCTGCAGTCTCCACATAGGAAGGCCAAGTGGTGCTGTCCTAAGAATGGGCACCATTTTGGGAGCAGCTGAAATTCTCAGATCACAAAAACTGCCCCACTTCCAAAATGGTGCCCAATTCCAGGATGGCACCATGTGGCCTCTGAGTAGGCATGTGGCAGATTGGTTGCTTACAGAAAAATAAGTATGCCGAGCCGTAATGGTGGAGGGGAGAATGGTATGCAACCCAGAGAGATAAGAAGCAGGTTCAAGGCCTGTGGTGACTCAGCAGGGTGGGGAAGCACCTCAATTAACAACTTATGAATACAGTATAACGTGCACACTCTGTTATGGTCATAAGTCGAGGACTACCTGTATTGATTGTATGAATAAGTATGGCTCATAAAAAGGCATTTCGTGATATTTTCCTAAAGATGTGCTCTCTGACTTAAAACTTTGCTGAATATAGTGCATCATTTTCTCTCCATAGGGCATCATTTTGTTCTATCCTGATTTGTATAATTGGCTTTTGTTCTATCCAGGTTTTGTATAGTTGACTTTATCACAATGGAATGTACTTTTTTATTTCAACATATCAAAGGATAGCTTCATATGAGGGACTTTCTTCATTTGCACTAGGTAGGACATTGGATTTTAACTGCTGTCAGTCAATAATTCTGATTTTTCCATGGTCTGCGGCCTCAGGTTTCATTTTCCACAGATAAATTACTTGGTAACTGTCTCTTGGATAAAGCATAGTTCTTGGAGTTTACTCATTGAGTAATATCAGAACAGGTTTGTTTAGAAAAGTAAAAAAAAATAGTAATAGCATTTTGAGATCCTACTTACTTTTCTGCACATAGGACAAGAGAAATGCCCATTGACATGGCTACAATTTTGGAGGATAAGAATCTTTTCCAGGCATTTTTTGCAGAAATTATGTGCACAACAAAGGACCAGCACTGGGGGAGTGAACAGTTCTAAGCACACTGGACATGAGAGCACCTGCATCAAAGTTTCCATATTCCTGCACTCAAACAGATAAAGACCAACTGTAATGTTCTTTTCTAGTTACATTTAGTTACATTCTGGAATGTCACTCTATGACTCATTTCTCACAGTAACTCCATAGCAACATAAGCCAACAGTAACCCCTCAGTTTTTAAAGAAGCAAGATCTAATGAATTCTGAATTTTAAATATCCATTTTTATATCATGGAGATGTAAATTACATTTGTATATTAAATAAATTATACAATAATAGTTACATAACTAAAGATTTTACAATTGACTTGGAGCTAGATTGTTCATCAGTGAACAGAGCCACTGAACTCAATGAGACTTATATTACTGTAATCATCATTAATTTAACTTCCTTTGTTCCATTGTAGGGATTGCTAATTTGTAATTTCCTGTTAGAGAGAGCAAACAGTAAGCAGTTCAATTAAACAGTGGATTGATGGATTAGTGCAGCTAATGGCACCCTCGATCCGCTGTCTCTGTAAGAAGGCTCCAGGTGGAAGCTTAAATTAAGAATTATAATAAAAAATAAGTGTTGGTTGTCAAAAATATGCATATCAAAAACAATGCTGCAATTTTGGCATCTGTCGAAGTGCAAATATAGAAGAAAATAATTTGGCCATTTGCCAAGTATATTTTTTACATTTCAGAGAATAAATGGATAGTATCCAATGTTAGTTTTGTAATAGGGAAAAGGAGTTTTAGTCACTATTTTTGTACTTTTACACATCCAATTTTCACTATCTCCTAAGTGGCATTTCTGAGGTTCCTGGGATTTTCTTGAAAAGGTGCTTTATAGCACAAAAATAGCACCTATCTGCAACATCTTCAAGCAACTTTTTTTGAGGACTATGAAAAGCTTATGTCTTTTAATAAAAATTGTTAATCAAAAAAGATGCTACCAGCCTCCTGATCTTTTGCTCCCTAGACTAGTGTGGCTTTCATGTTCCTAAATTCCCAGGACTAGGTGGCAATCATCCCCAGGAATGCTTAAGGTATTGCAGACAGGTGGGGAAAACTGGATGCTTTCCTAATTCAAGAGCAAGACATCCACTGAAGCCCAATTCAATGCAGGAGGTTAGAAGAAATGCAGAACCTGCCTTCTGCAGATATTGCTGAACTATAATTGCCAACAATTCTAGAGAGCAGGATCAATGTTGAAGGATGTTAGCTTATATTCAGCACCTTTCAAAATCTACATATCACATGTATTGTTTAGAGTAATTTTGTTTATCTCACATTTAAAGATGATGTCTAGGATGCTTCCCGATATGACAATTGCACATCGAAGGAATTGTGTTGCTTGCATCACAAAAACTATTTCCTTTAATTGCAGATGTTTCGATTTTACTGAGTGATTACAGTAAGTAACTGAAGTATGATATAATTTCTGGTTATCCTTCTGAAAAGGGATATTGTACTTGGAAAAAGTACAAAAAAAGAGCAATCAAATTGATGAGGCAATAGATGTAGCTGTTATGCAAGAAAGGACTGCAGTGTTTGAGGCTTCTTTGGTTTGGAACCAAAAGGGAAAGAAGTCTTTAAAATTCATTTGCATGAAATGAAAAACATAAATAACAATTTCCCCGGTCATAAATTAAAACTTAGGTAACCATTAAACTAAATGCGAGATTAAGGATTATGTACTTTACATAAGAGATCATTAGAACTGAATTTGCTGCATGGATATGTGGAAATGGGCAACAATTTAAATGGTTTTCGAAGGGAACTACACACACAGATGGAGGGTTGGGCTATCCATGGCTTCTTAGGTTTGATGCCTACTTACGCAATCGCAAATGACATGCCTTAGCATTACTAGATTAACAGTGGAGAAGAGCTATTGCCACCTTCTCCTGTTTCAGAGTATCCAGAAGACATCTAGTTATTTTCAAATAGTACAGAATGCCTGAATAGATGGATAATCGGTCTGATACATCTCTTATATATGTCATACAACTCTTACTAGTACTACTACAACAGATGTGAATATGGCTACTCTACTATAGAGCCTGTAATAGCTCTGATTATTTTAAAAAATGATTTTTATCCCATTTTCACTGTTAAAATCAAATTATTTTTTTTTAAATAGTCAATGGACAGAGATTCCACATTAGAGGTGCACTGTTATGTATCAGTGTTACTAATGGGAAAGGGTTGGAAGAGACCTATTGAGAACAGAAGCAAGATTTGTGGGAAAGGCAAAGAAAAATGAAAGCTTATCTTCTACTATTTGTAGTTGCCTGCGGCACTTCTACATTCTAATTGGCAAAAATAATTTCATGTCCCTTTCAGATTTCTAAACTCAACAATTGTATTAATAATAGTTACTAATGACAGAAGCCAAGACTTTCTTGAAGGGATATCTACACAGAACGCTTCCCATCGTATCTTTTTCTCAAGGATCTTGCTATCAATCCTGCTTCTGACAGGATATTTTATATTAGTGCTGTGCAAAATACTGGGCAAGCATTTTTAGAAAGCAAATGATCTTCTATTTTGGAAAATCAATCTCATGGTCAAAATAAAATCCTCTTCAGGTCTTTTTTTGTACTGATCCTGTAAAAGTAACTAAGTGACACATTAGATATTTTTGAATGTATTTAAACTCATTTAAATAGTTATCTGGATTAAGATAAAAATAGAATGAAAAGCTAAATCAAGAATGTCAATAACCACCAGAACAACTCATACTAGGACTATTATCCTAGTAAGGAAAGAAATCCTGATTTATCAACAGCCAGGAACATTTTTCACTGTAAATATTTCCTTTATTCATTTTTTTTTAAAAAATAAGCTACTATAACACAAATCTCACTTTTGCAGTATTTTATTTTTAAAAATATAAAGTTTCAACTTTCTCATAACCATTTATAAGCTGGCAGTTGTCTACCTTCATATTTTAAGTTATGTTTAGATTTTTTGCTACAAATTTATTTTGGCATTAAAATCAATTCTTTTATGGCTACCAAGGAAAAGTCATATAGTTGTACAACGGTCATTTATATCAGTCAATGTTTACTAATCACAAAATAAAACATAATACCACTAATGTAAACAACGTTTAGGTTTAAGAGTTTTAATACGCAAATATTTAACTGAATAAACTAGCACATTATGGCAGTGAATTATGGCAACAATTCAATAGCAGGTTAAATGTAGATTTCATTGAGCCAATGGGATCAGAGCCTAACAGAGTGCTGCTGAGATCATCCCTGTTGGGGAAAAGCAATCTAGGCTGATTCCTCATCTAACAACAGCTGCCAACACCATTGATTAGGGACCTCTATTCTTCTGTCCCTAACCCTCCTGCACAGATTCTTGGTGACATACGGGAGAGGAGGAATCAATGAGGATCACCTTATCCACTATGGAACAAAGGGATTTTTCTCCTTGATCCAACTAATAAACTTATCACTGAAAACTGTATAGCATTTTAATGTAATATTCAAACCCAAAATGCCACATTACAATCACAAAAATGGCAAGTTATTACATAACAATGCATATGCATACATAAGAAAACCACCTTCAGATATTGAATAAACAATATTAACAGAAATGTAATTAATGCAAAACAAGGGATACAAAAGAAAAGTAATTTCTCAGCACTACAAAGAACTGTAGCATAGAAATGTAAACATTATAAAAGCTGTTCCGTTTCTTCACTGGTATATTGTCTTTGGTGTTCGAGTATCTGTTTGAAAACATTCTTTAAAATGCTGTAAACATCTGATGCACCTTCAGAATCATAGTTCATCTGCTGAAAACAAATTTAAAGTTATCTTACAAAACATAAGAAACATCAGAGTTTTAGGCAGAGGTTTGTCCTCTGAGCTTGCTGTTTGGCTCCAACTAGGTAACATCTTCAGCGGGGTTTTGGGTGAAGTGTCTTTCTGCTTATATAAGTCTTCTGCTTATATACTGTCTTGTGATTCAATCAGTCTTGTTAATCACAAGACCAACTAATCATCCAGGACCTATATAAACAAACAAGACATTTCAGCCCCAAACCCGCTAAAGATGTTACCTAGTTTGGTAACGAAATGTCCGGGAGCCAAGCAGCAAGCTCAGAGGACAAATCTCTGCCTAAATCTACAAATACTCTCTACAACCTCTAATATCAGGATTTATCCCAGTAGAATAATATAAAGTGTAAAGGATTCAATGAAATCAAAGACTCAATCATTTATCTCAGAGATCTCCAACTCCGGGCCATGCCCACTTCAGGGCCTTGAGCTTTTTGAACTGGGCCTGCCGCTCACACAAATGGAGCTGAGTGCAGATGCTTGCCTGCCATGCTCACAAAAGCATTCCCCTCCCATTCCCAATCCTCAAAACCAAAAAGGTTGGGGAACTCTGATTTGTCTGATACACTCAGATAATATACTTTTAATTTATAATGTTTCAAATATAATACTTCACAATTGCTATAAGAGAACAGAATAATGAGGGCCTATGTAAAACATTTTTCTGAATTATTCAAAGTTCTAGTAAGCTACTTTTTTCTTTCAGTTATTCTATGCTTTATCAAAGCAAATGTTAATGAGACATATATGCACTTTATTTTTTTCTTACAACTAGGGAAAATGTGTGTGTAGTATAATTTTGTACATTTTTAATAAATGTATTCTGACTCTTGTCATATGTGAAAAAATAGTGAAAAAAAATCTGTGTCATATCAAAATAAACAGTAATAATGACTAAAGTACAGATATGAATTTCCTTCCAGTGCTATTCTTTCTTTAGATTCCAAGTGTGGAAAGACATCCTGGATGTGCTAGAGTGAGATAATATAAATTCTTTCACTGAAACTTTGGATTCCATACAAACAACTTAGTGCCACTGAGGAAAATGAAACTTTTTATTGTATTATTTATTTATCTGAATGTTGCCTTTATTAGTTTATAAATACTTGACGGAATGAACATACCAAATACTCATTATTCCTCCTATTTTTCCTTCAACAACAGCCCTGTGAGATAGATTGAGCCGAGAGAGATGGACTGGCCCGAGGTCATCCATATGATTTTTGTGTATAAAGTGGGACTAGGACTCACAGTTTCCTGAGTTCTAGGGCCAGCACCTTAACCACTACACCAAGCTGTCTCTTCAAGCTTTATCCCAGCCCCAGGTTTACTGACAGAAAACAGAGGGCCATCTCTCTTCTCTCCAAATAATCATGTCTATAGACGTGAGAGAGATTGTTAGGTACATATGCATGAAATAGAAGTGAAGTTATGTTTTGCTTGGATTTTTGAATCACTACCCAAACTGAAATTTAATCTTCCAATATCTGCACTTCTCCAAATATCGCAGGGCAGTTTGCCGTGTGTATGAAAATCTGCCTCAAAATTACAGAAGGAAATATTTAAAATAAATATATAGAAATTTACAAAAATGCAGGAAAATTGTTTGCAAAAATAACTTTGCAAACAAAATTCAACATATTGTTAACACAGACACAAACCCAATGGACAACATACAAAAAAAAAAAGGAAAAAAATTAAACTGACAATCCAGAGTATTAGAAAGAATGGATGTACAGGATTGTGTTGAACTGTAGTCACTGATACGTTTTGTTGAGGTAAATGCAAGAGCCTAGATGCAACGTGTCCAGAAATGTTTATCTGTGCCTTGTACACGGATTACAAATGTTTCAGATATTAAGGCAATGCCCACAATGTGGAAGACTAAAATCATACTTCTTTTTCCTCTTCTCATAACCCTGCCCTCAGACTGAAAATGATCCAAGTTCCAATACCTCCATTACTCAAACTTTTACATAAATTGCTAAAATTAATAAGCTATAAGGCAAACTCCATAGAAAGCTGCATATTCAATTATTCCATGGACTTAAATCGACGAGGAACCATTTATAAATTGGTCTCATTAGAAGGGGACAATTCAAGCTCCTGGCAAGGAATACCTGTTTGAATACTTTATTATCAGGATTATGATTAGTACTGTAGGCTGATCAGCAGCCGCTGATGTATTTATAACAAAAGGCCACAGTCATACGCTACTTGCCTTTGTGAATGCTTTAATGGCACGATTAAGAAGCAGCCCTTCCACATCTGTTGGTATTGTCTGCAAATTCACCACGCAGTTTAAGATACACAGTATGGTGTGATATTTTCCCTGAGGAAGCATAAATCAAACTATTAGGTATTATTAGAGACCAACTCTGAAAACAAACAGGACAAAATTCAACCCAAGTTAAGCAAGAGGTAAGCCCTTTGGAGGTGACCCTTTGGATGCAAGCTGTGATTTACAGCTATCATTGGATGAAAGATGCAAGGGGAAAACTCCTAACTCCAATCACCATTTGAAACTGTGCGGGAAGAGAGTCGACAAACAGGGAAGAAAGATGAAAACTAACCAAGGAGAGAAGCAACCTAAAACTAAGGAGAAACTTCCTGACAGTTAGAACAATTAACCAGTGGAACAACCTGCCTCCAGAAGCGGTGAATGCTCCAATACTGGAAGTTTTTAAGAAGAGACTGGACAGCCATTTGTCCAAAATGGTATAGGGCAGTGGTTCTCAACCTTTCTAATGCCGCGACCCCATAATACAGTTCCCCATGTTGTGGTGACCCCCAACCACTTATACATCACCGGGTGCCAGGGGCGTGGCCAAAGAAAAGGGGAAAAAATGGCGGACAGCCTTGTTTGGCGACCCCCGTGAAATGGTCGTTCGACCCCAAATGGGGTCCCGACCCACAGGTTGAGAACCACTGGTATAGGGTTTCCTGCCTGAGCAGGGGGTTGGACTAGATAACCTTCAAGGTCCATTCCAACTTCATCATCATCATCATCATCATCATCATCATCATCATCATCATTATATCATCACCTCTTCCCCCTCATCTTGATTCACAGGGGCCCTTCCATTCACAAAAAGTTAGTAAGTCTGGAGAACCTAATTCTGTTCATTCAAGTATACCTGATATTGAACTGAAACTAAGAGGAAATGTCTTTGCTTAATATTTGTTAAAATGTACGTAACTCCTTTCCACAAATATCATCAAGATAGTACGATTTAAAATCAGTAAAATAATCAAATATTACTAGCAGCTTAAAAGGAACATTTAAAGACATTTTTAACTCCTTTGCTGAAGGAAGAGAAAGCAACCATTTAGCAGCATATAAGAAGAGGCACTCTTTTACATGTTACTGTTATTTTGAGCCTTCTCCAAAGGACTTCTGTTGAAAATCACTGTTAAGTGGGCAATCCCTCAATGTCTAAAAATATATCTTATCACATAAAAATCTTGTAATAAACAAAAAGTAACATTTCTTCAAAAACTACTCCAATAGTATTGCAACCTAATAAATTGGACAAGAATTGTTTCCCTCTTCCAGCCCACACCTCCTGGACAATTTTAGCTAACAGTACAAACAAAATAAATCTAGAATATGCAGTAATTTCTCCAAATATGTCCCATACAGGTAGACCTTTAGCAACAATACTTGGGACCAGCAATTTGGTCATTAAATCTCTAAGTGAAATTATGCCTATGCCTATGATCTTACTTCAATTATCTTTTCCTGTGAAGGTTGTAAAATTATTTTTTTAATCACCTTTGTGAATACAAGACAATCACTAAATGAGTACTACCTATATTCATATCTATGTAACTAGTTAATCTATCTATCTATCTATCTATCTTAGAAAGAGATTCCGATTGGTCCAAGATTGTCTAGATTGCTTCCATGCCCTCCTCCACCCTCTGCTTTTGCCTTCAAATCAGACTTGACTCCTGGCAATCAGATGGAAAGTCTATGAAGTTTTCTAGGCAACATTTTGTAAGTGGTAAATGCCATGTCTTCTTCCTGGAGCTGACAGAGGAAGACAGGCCTAAAGTTATATTGCTGGCTTCTGTGCATAAACCAGGATTTAATTTAGATTTCCCCATTCCTACTCCAAGGCCATAACCACTAGACCAACTAGCTCTCAATCTATCATTATATACTACTAAAAGAGAAGAAGGAATTCTATCAAGAAATAAAGGTCAGAGAAAACATTAAGTCAAAGAAATAAATATAAATGCTCATTCATCATTCATACAAAATTAAGAACAAGTCTATTGTAATTTTTCTGCATAAAAATGCCTTGAAAGAGATGTCAAAACTATATTTGAAAAAATATATGACAAAGAATGATAACCAGGGGTGTCACTAATATAATGAGAAAGATAGAAGCAAATACCAGTTATCTAAAACAGAAGACCTCACTGTAGATATATTAAAAATTTAATCAGCAGAATAAATTGCTTCCCATTCATTCTGCAACAGGATATTCAATTGCCGCTATATTTCAAATGATTTTAAATATTAGCTAAAGCAAGTATATATTGTACTTTTATTCGATGCAACTCATTTCTGCCCCAGAATGTCAGGCTGATAAACATACACAAATATATGAATAAATCACTCATTTTTCACTTACAGTAGAGAAGCAGGGAAAATATCAAAGGCACTTCATCTGGGGAGGCAAAGAGAGTTGGTCTGACAAAAGCAGCATCATAACATCATGATGCAAACCTGCCACTGTTTTAAAGGCACAATGCTTCTCACATGCGCAAAAGAAGAGCTTCCAGATTAATGGCATAAGTCAGGATGGCACAGCTGCTTTCATTGCTCTCACAAGAGCAGCAAGAATCTGAAACTGTTGCTGACCAAAAAAATCTGAACAGATACATATATTATTTACCTTTTCTAGTAGTTTGAATGCTTCTTGAAAATCTGTGTTATTTTTTGCTAACACATCCACATCAGCTTTGGTTAGAAGAGGTTCTTTAAGTTGCTCTATCCAGGACCACATCAAATTACTGAGAATAAAAGGATCTCTCTCAGTACATATTTTATCCCAGGCCCCATTCTGATTATTCAGCTCTTTCTAACAAAAAGAAAAAAAAGCTATTTAAATATATTTTCTATTAATTGCATTTACATTCATGATTTTAAGACAGGTCTGCCTTATCTCTTGGCAAAAACAACCACAGGAAATCCTTTCTTCTATAACAGGGGTGTCAAATTGCCAGCCCATGGGCTGGATGCATCATGCCGAAACCGCGCCCACCCCATTGCCGGCAATGGAAAAAAAATCGCAACACGTCGCAACACACCACGTGATGTTGCGAGTTTGACACCCCTGTTCTATAACATCATAACTATGTCAAAGAAGATTGTAGGGTAATGTTGACTAGTCCTTCGCCTGCTCAGTCTCTGTCACTATTCAGACATTTATACGCCTGAAAGAGGGCATTCTGAAGACAACAACCTGTTGTATGCCTAATTGTTCTCCACGTTTGTTCTAATCTTTAGAAACCCTACATATCACAGATTTCTCTCTTCAGACAATCTCTAGTTTACTGACAATGGCAGGAGCCTTACCTTCCTTCGGGTGATTAAGATCATAAGCCAACACCTGAAGTGTGACTTATGTATTCCCAGTCTGTGTGCCAAGAAAATGAGACTAAAGAAAGAGGCAGTTTCTGTTTTCTGTTAGAGAATCAATGGGCACAGAATGCTTAACTCTTTCTTAATGTAGAGCAAACGTCTTAGTTTCATGTAGCAAATGCTTCCCCAGGAAAGTAAATTACTCCAAGCCAAAGAAAGTTTCCTTTTGTTTTCTTTAGACAGCAAAAATATCGGTGGGAGTTCTTCAAGATGCACAGTGTCCCTCCCTGACTTTGAAAGAGCCAAGGGCATTTAAAGCCACAAGTTCTACCAAAGAACATTCCCCACAAAATTGTGCATGCTCTAATGTAAAGTCTATATCCTAATCTCTCCATCCTCCAGGCTTCTGCGCAAGATAATCAGGAAAGAAAGAAGGGCAATTCAAAATATTTGTTCCCATATAAATACATTGTCCCAACAATAACATTTAAGGAAAATTAATTTACACTGTATTCATTACAAAAAGTTGGGGGGGGGGAATGTACAGAATATTTGGTTCCTTCATATCTGTTTTAATTTTAGGCTGCACTCCCTAGTTCCTATTCAAAAGGAAAACAACATGGGTGGTTGTTTACTCATCACTGAAGCTTAGGAAATAGAAGACCTCAACTGCTCCTAACCAGGGACGTTCTTTCCATGTTTACCTAATGTACACATCTCTGACAGATAAAAATATTACAAAATGAAATACCTGCCACATTTCTACTTTAGACTTCATTTCTTCTGCTTCCATAAATTCATTTAGACCTGCCAGAGCTTTGGCTGCCAAAATTCTTCGTGCTTCTTGAGTTAATTCTGATTGCACAATGATATGGGGGATTGTTTCCGAAAGTTCTCTGATATCATAGATCTCATTTTCTGCTTTAGAAGAGTCTGAATCTTCAGATGATATTTTTCTACCATAAATATCCTTTTTCACAAAACTATAGTTCAATGCTTTTAACTCCTCATCTTCTTCTTCCTCCTCCTCCTCCTCCTTTTTTTCTTTCCCATGATATGCAAGGCCTGAAGAAAAGGTTTTACTACGCAGTATTCTTTTTGTACGTCTAGCTCTATGGCAGGCAGAAGAATCGTCTTCATTTTTTCCTGGATTAAATTTTCCCTGAGCTGAGAAAGTAAATGTATTACGAATTAAGACTTCTTGGTTTAGCTCAACGTGAAGAGGCTCACAGTGGTCCACCTTGCTTGGCGGGTTAGATTTGTTACAGGGTGGCACTTGTAAAGGCATGGACCATAGTGTTTCTCCTTGCTCAGCGATAAATGCAGCTTTTCTTAAATCTGATTCACTATAGCTAAGGCGCCTTTTGGAACGGCTAAGAGACAAAAAGTAATCGGTGGCCCTTGTTTTGCAAAGAGGACCAAATTCATGTTCCCTGGGATGAAAAGGATTTGATCCTGAGAGAGAGAATGGCTCTGAAGTACTACTGTCTTGTCTTGTTAACTCCTTATCAAGCTCCGTAGAAGCTAATTGAGAAACTGTCTCCTCAATTTCAGCTGACAGGTCTGGCATATCTATTAATGCTTCCTCTATCACCTGCCGGTTTTCAACCAAATCTAAGAGCAATTTGCAAACAAGATGAATAAGTTTTGGCACATGCTTGAGATGTCTGCTTTCGTATCCATGCAGCAAGTGCCGCTGCCTGATCAAGTACTGGGAAAGAGTTACTGCATGTGCTTTAGGCTCACAGGTTGCAAAAACATTTCTGAGTGGAATTAAGAACTGTGAAAACTCCCTTACGCACAACAACTGTCCTCTAGTCTGAATAGAATTAGGCCTTTTTGCTCTTACAAAAAGGATTGCTTGGTCTGCAGTCATTCGTGTTGCAAAAACCAAGTAAGAAGCTATTAAGACACCTGGAAAGCGAAACATAAAAATAGATCAATCTCCAAGTTCAGGTAAAGTCTAAAATGATAAACTCAGAAAACAACACATGCATGCTCTTTACATCACAGCAGTCTGTTATCTGTTGTATAAATTCCCACCAAGTGTTAAGACTTAGATTACATACTCTCTCTCTACATATGTGTGTGTATGCGTGTATGTTTATACTGTAAATATTTTAAAAAATAAACATGAACATTATATAAACAAACATTACACACTGAAAGTTCATTGAGCCAGCCAGTTTTATGAATAAATGGCACGCAAAATCAGAGATCACAGATGAGAAAAGCATTTTGATGCATAGAGTTGTATTTCGTGAGGAAATAAGGTCAAAGAAGACCGTATTAAACTTTCCTACAAATATTTTTTCTGCTTTAGAAGTGGAGATGAGAAATTCTTAAAAATAAATAACCAAACAACTATTTCCAAATGGTAGGTATGCAGACAGAGAGAGAAAGCATTCATAATTTGCATTTCTATTTAAGGGCATTAAAGAATTCCTATTCCTTCAAATAATATTTTTGAAATAACTAAATTTCTACTCCAAAGTTCTATTTTCTTTTGAAATAATGACAACTGAAATACAGTTGAAAACTAGGATTTCTCTTAAATCTTTATAGATGCTCTCATGATTAATTCTCAATTTCTTCTTTGAACTCAAGAAGCAGTTTAGAGGCATGGGCCACTTTCCAAGAAAAATTCCATAAAATGCCAGCAAGCAAATACAGGTAATCCTTGATCTATGACTACAATTGAACCCAAAGTTTCCATGGCTAAACAAGATAGTTAAGTGAGTTTTGCCCATTTTACAAACTTTCTTGTCATAGTTGTTAAATGAATCACTGCAATTGTTAAGTTATAACATGGTTGTGAAGTGAATCTGTTTCCCCATTTGTTTGTCAGAAGGTCACCAAAGATGGCCACATGACCCCGGGACACTGTAATGGTCACAAGCACATGCCAGTTGCCAAGCATCCAAATTTTGATCACATGACCATGTGTGAGTGAAAAATGATCATAAGCCACTTTTTTCAGTGCCATCATAACTTTGAACTGTTACTAAACAAATAGTTGTAAGTCAAGGGCTATCTGTATTTCATGCAGGCTTTGCAATGCATAATGTACAATGCATAAAGTTCAATACTGAATTATAGAAAAATACATTTTAATTAAACTAGTAGTTGAATATTTGTACCTGTTCTGCCAAGTCCCGCATGACAATGAATAGCTACTCGCCCTTCCTGTAAGGCAAAGGTCATCACTTTGACCATATCGAGGATAGTAGTGAGAGAAGCTACACCATAGTCCTTCCATCCAAAGTTATAAAAATAAACTAGAAAAAATATTTAGAATATTATAAATAGAAGACCAAAGACTGCACTCACAATGTATCCTAATGACATTCTTAAGATATGCAGGAGAAGAGAATGAAAGCTCTTCCAGCGTTGTGGAAATTTTTTTATTATTTTAATTTTCCAATCTTACAGTCCAAATTCAGCAGGATGTTTCCTTTAGAAACTGGCTTATAAAACCTACAATGAAGGGGGAATGCATTAGTTTCTGTGTATGTGTGTACATGCACCCAGATAGTATGTAGAAATACACACTCAGTATTCTTAAATTAATTACATCCTTTTTGAAATAGTCAAACACAGCTATTTATTTGGACAGTGTGGAAAACTCTTCTTGTGAAAGAGAAGCTAATTAAGTAGATATGTATGTATCTGTAACACACAAACACACATACATATACACACACACACAATTACTGCCAGTGAATATATGCCTATTGTCCTGTGAAGGTATTTACTATTTTGTGAATAATTGCTAATACTGTTAAAGATATTGTCAGGTGCAACTTTCATAATTTAGCTGTCAGTTCCATGGATGCCTTAGTCATTTATTATACCCGCCCCCTGTTTTTCTACATTCTCATTAGTTCTATGTTATTTTTTTGTCGATATACATTCCTCAACTCGCTGCTTTTACCCTTAGAAGTAGGTGGCAGAAACAGCCTGCAAGCAAGCACACACTTTATAATTAACCAGGAACTGCAGCAGCAGGAGCAAACTTACTTCCCGCCTCCATGAAGGCTTCAGGAAGATAGGTGAAACCACTCTCTTGTTCCAGTGGATTCCCACAGCTAGCATGTTCCCCGGGACGCTGAAGGTTAATTACTGTTTTTATGTCACATCTTAGGCAAAGAAAAAGATGATGCATTACTGAATGATGCATCTTTTCAGAGTCTTTTCCACCCGCATCCCATGTTCTTTCTTACTTCAGAATAAATTGCTACAGTATAAATGATCTGAGCCAATGCAGTCTCATAAGAACTTTAGTAATTTGTTACCAATTTCTTTTACCTTTGGAACTGTTCAATAATATTATATTTCCCAATAAGATCTGTGGAGGGTCGAGACATAGCCAGTATGTTATCTGTTATCCTGAAGAGATGAGGGAAGAAGACATGAAAAAATAGAAATAAAAGTGTGTCTCAGCCATCTCTCATGTTTAGTTGTTTTAGCAAATTAATCATAACATTTTATATGCTGTGCTTTCAAACCGTGAAATGCTTTTCATCTGTGTTTAATAAAATACTTACAGAACAGAATGCTAATAAGATGTCAAGATATGATGATAATAAAAACGGAGCTCCATTTAGCTTTTTCATAACTTGTATTTAAATTTGATATTTTATAGATTGTATTCTTTCTTTCTTTTCTTTTCCTTTATTTCTTTTTTTTCCTTTTTTTTCTAAGTATTTTTTTAATGCTTATGTTTTTATTGTTATATATATATTATTGTTAATTACCTTATAAGTTGATTAATTTTTTTTTAGAATTTTTAAAATTTTAATTAAGCCTATATTCAGCTCTGGGAAGCTCGGGGGGGGGGGATGGAGGGGGGTGGTTTGGGAGGGTTTGGGGGAGGGTTGTTTTATTTTTTGTTGTTGTTTTTTTGTTTTTTGTAAAACTTTTAAAAAATTTTCAATAAAAAAAAACGGAGCTAACACCACTTTAGTTTTTTATTTATGTATAAAACATTTTTTTTCTTCAGTGATCTTTTTAAAATCTTTATAAAATGATCCCACACATCTTGACAATACTTTCATTATATTCAGCTGGGTTTTTTTAATTTAACATTTCAGTTCAATTACATAATCAATACATTTGAATCTGAGTTACATTTAAGTCTGTAATAAAGGTATCCATAATAAAATCCATGTTTCAGCTATAAACATATTACGTTGAATTTAGTTTCTATTGTCACCAGTAGAATGCAGTCAGTATGATTAATGCTTAGATGAAAACAACTGACTTTTGTTTGAATCCAACCAACAGTTTTAGCATATAAATATTTCAAGCAATAAGCTCACGGACACAGACGTTATATATAAGCTGTCCAGCATTTCTGAAACACTTAAATCTGTATCAAACTGCTTTCTTTCACTGAATGTATAATTTAATACTAAGCATATTTATTTGGAAATTATTCAACAGTTACAAACTGCTTCATAAGGTATTTAAAAGTAACATTTTTGGAAATGTATCATAAATTAATGCTGTATATTACCAGGAGGAATATAATCCTTTAATAGCCTGTTCTTGTTCACTCCACCGAGCTGGATTTTCATATTTGCAAGCACGGCCACCACATGCCATGGAACACTGCATATGACTGGGAATAACATGACGAAGGCGTTCTCCAACTTTCGTATATTTTGCAGTTGGACGTCTAGATCTTCCTATAACAGAATGGCAAGAGAAAATAAAACTTTCCAACAAAGATCAGTTCTGAAAAAACAAAGATAAAAAGACAAAAATGTAAGCAAAATCCAAAAAAACATTTGCAAAGAATGTTTTCCTTCTTGATGTTTGCATCTGTAGTATTTCCTTAATACAGGATCATGTCATTATCTAGAAACATTTAACAACAGCTGTCATCTTTGTTCGTATTATAAACAAACTCATAAAAGCCATGAGCATAAAAGTGACACAGTACTATTTTATTAATTAAGTGATGCGATCAACTTAAAATGCTTAGTTATAAAAGAAGATCAGAATGAATATAAAATGATAAAAATGCTGATACTTTACTTTTTCTTTCATGGAAAGCAGCATTTAGTTCTTCGGGGCTTACAGAGGAAATGGCCACCATAACCCTGTGGGTAGAAGTCGAGAGGACCTCTACAACTGAGCTCCGTCGCCGCTGAAGCACTCGGAGAAAAGGATCAGAAGAAGAATGTCTCCGGCCCTGAAAAAACTTGCTAAAAATATTCACTGCTAAGCGCCTCCTGGGTGATCCTTGCATGGTCACCCACTACTTGCGGCTAAAGGGTGAAGCTGAATGACAAAGCTTACTTGCTCCGTACTGAACTTATACAGAGACACGCATCTTTCTGTAAGATCTAACAGCCATTCAGCATTGGCTGCTGTCTCCATAGAAACTAACAATGAACTCACTGATGGCAGCTACGCCTTTTGGCAACTAAATTCTTATATACATTGATTTTTTTTTTCTTCTGCAGAATGAATAGTTCCACTACTGATGAAGATTAGAATTACTCAAAGCAGGTAATTCTGAAATGGTCCAGGAATTCTGAAATTGTTTCCTATGAACAGAAATGAATGCTGGAATTTGAAGAACTGAATCTAGCATCACAAAGTATAGCTAATTCTTCAGAAGACCTTTAGAACTTTGCATCCTTCGAGCAATCTCAAGTTAATAAAGATATAAAAAAGGCAAAAGAAACTTAGATACGATTGTAAAATGAAAAGCAGAAACATTTATAACAGAACTATTATTCCATGAAGTGTATAATTTTAAACAGTTGTTTTAGTTTTATATCTTATTGCATGGTGGTAGGAATTCTATTTGGTAATAAGTGCTTCCGGATATTGACAGAACTACTTTGTTTAGTTTGGTTCTGCTCCATCAACCAGCAATCATTTATTCTGTTACATATCTCATAAGACAGCAGAAATATTGCTTTTGTACAAGGACCTTTCTTGCTGCTGATTAAATGTATGTGAATGATTGACTGGATAGTCTCTCAAACCTTACTCTGTCTTTGTAAACTCTTTAATGCAAGTGCTAAAAGCAAAATGAGTGATCATTGCTTTGCTTACAAAATGAGCTGGTGACACAATTTGGGAAGGAGAAAAGTTTGTTCTATGATTTCACTTCAATTGCTGTCTATGATCTTTAAAAATTACTGCCATTCTTCTGAAGAAGCTAATGTTTTTAAATATAATTCAATGACAAACATTACATACTAGCCAAATTTTAAAATGTTAAACTATATCCCAGTTATTTCTAGAAATATAGTAACACTATCAGCCAGAAATTGAGTGTTGATTTGTTTTTTCTTTATCTAAAATCTGATCCATAGGTTAAACAGTATGCTAGATAATGTGCTCCTGTCAGAATACCAATGTGGAGGAAACTGTTATGGACCAGCATGGATATTCTGAAATTCAGTCTTTACAAGGTCATCCATACACAACATTTCAACATTTTTAAAATAACAAACTAGATAAGTAAGACTTTAGGTCTATCAGATATCATATCTGCCCCACCTACCAACTGCAATGAACCTACTCAGTAAGCAGATTTAATGCATTTAGGTACAAAGTATTAAGGGATAGAAAGTTCTTCCTTTAGCCTTTATAGACAAGGATTTTAAAGGTTCAGAATCTTTGTGGCGTTAACTCACAAATGCCCATGTTGAATAGGCATTATGGAACCGCTGTATTAGAATCATAGCATTATTCACAATTGTAGTGGCAGAATTGGGTTGAACCCATAGGGTAAAAATGTCAAAGCTCCCCTTGCAGGAGTCCTTGGGTTCTGCATGCTCTATTTCTGCCTCCTGGCTTAATGAAGTGGTTTGGTAGTTCTTACCTCCACTATCTATTTCTGGGTGGGCGGACAGGTGCTTTTACCTGTCATCCTCCCCCCAGAAATCATATAGCACCTATACAAAAATGAAGTCAAAATGAAAAAAAGGAGAAATAAATTCTATAGCACTGCCTCCTAGCCTTAGTCACTGAAACATATGGCAAAGGAAATTAGCCTATTCCTTTAGAAGACAAATGAATCCCTCAAGGTATAAATAGAATCAAACTTTATTTCTAAAAAAAAAGTAAAAAGAAAATGTAACAAAATCCCTTTTTGGGTTTCAGCAGTCATTTAAATATTCAGTGGCAAAATCAATAAAAATATACTGTAGAGTTGTTCTAACTACAGAGTGCACCTTAAAAGGACGTTCCATAGAAAACTATAAAATACAATAGAAGACTCTGGGCAGGCAAAGGATGATTTTGGTCTGCTCTTAATTTATAGGGACTCTGTTGTTAAGTGATTCCAAATTGTATGAAAACACAATTTACAGAAAACATAAATATCACAGGCAGTAATGCTTAAAGAACAACATAAGTAGATTAGAAGATCATACTGTAACACAACACTTAACTTTTTCCCATTCCTCTAAAAAAATACACTAGCCTTGAATCAGATTGCAATTTAAACATGACAGGTACCATTTAACAATTCTGCTTAACAACTAATTCCTACAACACTGTCAAAATACTTAGTAAAGCTGTACTACTATGATACTCCTCATCTTTCCTATTACCTCTCCTTATCTGACTATATGACTATAATTTTGTTGCTTGTATCCTACAATTTATATTGTTTTTTGTACCCTAGTATGATTTATGTTGTTTGCTTAGCTCTATGACTATACTAAGTGCTGCATCATGATTTATGATGAAGTGCTGAATTTCATGATTTATGACAAATGTATTTTCATGTTGTATATGATCATGATTATCACTATTACTTGTATGTACAGTGAGAGCTTATGCACCGGAAACAAATTCCTTATGTGTCCAACCACACTTGGCCAATAAAGAATTCTATGACAGATACCATTTGGAGTTTTTACATTAGACAAAAAATGTCTTGGATCAAATATTAATATAATGTTTATATGGCATAAAATGAAGACATTTGTACCACAGCTAATGCATACCAAAAGCTACAGAACCTCTTAGTTTATGTTAAACAGTATCAGCTAAGTCATAAAACTTGTAGCCCTTTTGAGTCTATGACAACACCATGCAATTTGTATAGTGCCATATGACTTTGTTATTAATATCACTTAGAAATTCACCATCTTCACTCCCATTGATTTTGTTTCATTTAATAATTTGTAATGAATACAATATGACTTTTAGCAGATAAAAATATGTTATTCATATTATGCATCAAACCTATTAATTTAAACCATAACCAAAAATAAAGAGTGTTGTTTTCATGCATACAATAACATTCCACAATGCTACCATGTGGGAATTAGGTAATAATTTTAATGAGATGGCAATTACTGGCCATTTTCTGCAAAGAATATGAAGCAATAAACCTAAACAAGCAGAATAATTTATTAATTTTTATGAGACAAGTTGCATTTAGATGTAATCTTCCTGGATATCTACTGAATATGTTCATGCAATACATCCTTTCTTTGCATAAACAAGAATGTTCAATTTAACATTCTTGATTATGCAAAGAAAGAATTATTGCATGAAATAAATGATAAACCTCAAATTGCTACTATATTTGGACTAACAAAGAAACAATTTTGGTTTAAATGAATGTTAAAATCATGATTATTTTGTTAAAACGTGAGACAAGAGAACACGCATAAGCACAGATTATCTTTAGTTCTCCAATTTAATTTTAGCTGTCATAGGAAATCTGTATGAACACAAAGAGATATTACTTTTAAAAATCTTTTAATGATCTTAAAAGCTTCTGCCAAAGAGATAAATTTGGCATCAGAATTACAAATTGTAACAATGAATATTTGTTCTCCTCTTCTGTCAGTATTAACCTTTTAATACATAGAATTATTATTTCACTATTCCTTCTGACGCAGTTGCCCATTTTCCAACCTGATATTAAGACTGAAAATATATGAAGCAAAAAACAAGTTAAATAGCTAAGAAATTTATTAGGAAAACTGTGATATTATCACATTGCTTTTTTGTTGTTGTTGTTAAAAATCCACAGTAAAATGGTTTTTAAGTATCCAAGTAAGATAAACATTTGTGTTGCAATAAATGAAGAAAAATTTTGATTTCTCACATACAACACAAATAACTTTTTAATACTCAGAATACAGACTGATGAAGTAAATTGGACAGAATATACCATATTTTCCGGCGTATAAGACGACTTTCTAAACCATGTAAATCGTCTCCGAAGTCAGGGGTCGTCTTATACGCCGGGTCGTCTTATACGCCGGAAAATATGGTAATTTCCGGCGTATAAGACGACTTTCTAACCATGCAAATCGTCTCTGAAGTCGGGGGTTGTCTTATATGGCGGGTCATCTTATACACCGGAAAATACGGTAGTATAATTGGGAGGTAATATCAGCAGAAGTGAAAGATATGCACATGAGATATTTGCCAAAAAGTTGATTGGCATGCAAACTATTCCTTTGTGGCCCACAATTATTTTTAATTTATTGTGGCCCTTTCACTTCTCTAAGTTACGCAAGCCTGCTCTGCTCTATATGGTATTAATACAAGCAAAAACATTCAAATTGGGTAAGAAAGATGTAAAATTATGGCCATTTCCTACTCCATTTCCACTGTTAAGGTCGGACCATCTGCAAGAGTTGTGGTCCTTCAGTTGTCCTGGGTTTTACTCAACGGAGGAAGACATGAGGTAGTTTAACCAGTTCCATGTGGGACACATTAGTGAGACCTGGCTCCCTGTGTTGTTCTACATAATTTTATCCCTGCAGGACAAAGCAGAGAGATAGTAATCTGGGCTTTATCCGACATGAACACTGGCCGCCTACATAGGATGAAACAGTTACGTCCTGGCTTCCAATTCATCTTGCAAGGAATATTTTTCTTCAGGAAGAGGAAAAATAGAAATTATGATTTGCAATACCTTCCTTCATAGAAAACTGAATAATGAAGGTAAAAAAATGACAGGAGTTGTTATTACCTAAGCTGTTATATGGCCTAGAAATAATAATTTCACTATAGACTCCTTTATCTTCCTCTCTTGAGTCCTTGAACAAAGGTGAAAGGTTATAGCAATTTTTTGCAGGGAACCTGGGATTAGTAATGACAATTTATTCATAACATCTGTTCATTTTTTGATTTGGTTCTTTACCTGGATCCTATTTCAACTGATGGAACTATAAAATCAACTTAAAACAAGCTGGTTCAGTTCTGCATTCAGAGTTTAGGTATATTCAATACCCATCCCTATTATTATTCACTACTGGTCCTATCTGCTAAATGTCATATACTAAAAAAATAATTACCTGTATTCATGGTTGTGCTGCTTGTTATCAGAGAACAATAAGGTGCCTCATTTTGCAATAAGACTCCAGCAGCCATTGCAGTACCTGTAGAAACAAAATTTTAATAATAAGCATGGTTTTCTAGGTATGTGCATGTGTGTCCAGCTCTACAGATCAGATTCAAATGATCTGGCTTTTTAGTCAAATATATTTAAGTATTGTAAGTATTTTAATTGCTGACATGCCTTTTCTTTACATTTTAATTCTTAAAAATATTACATTACCTATATTACTAAACAATGTAAAAACCTTGATTGACCATGTCAGAAAAATAAATGATAAACCAGATAACAAATAAAATAAAATTAACATAGAAATGTCGCATGTCTGCAGAATAAAGAAAAAGAATGTAATAGATCCAATTGAAGGAAGCCTCATCTTGTGGAATGGTTTTGATGGACATGCATATGCCAGGATATAAAGGTACTGGTTTAATTATGAATGAAAGAATAAAATTAAAGTTTGAAAACATGAAAGAAAGAATCCATGTATCAGTGGATTAGTAACCATTTATAGTCAGCAAATGGTGATAATGTAAGAACTAAAGATGAGTTTTAGAAAAAATGGTAATGCTTTGATAAATCTAATTCAGAGGAAACAATTATTCTGCTAGAAGATATGAGTGCAGTACTAAAAAAATATATGTGTTAAAACAAGGAGAGAAAAAGTGAAAAATGAATGGATACTGAATGAATAGGAAGTAAATATAAAAATGGGTTTTCGGGAGAAGACTAGGGAAACAAAAACCTCTCTGCAAAAGTGGACAGCAGCAGAGAATTAAGAACAAGTCAGCAGACCAGCTCTTTGGAATCTTTCAGAACAAGGAGAGGGTGTGAAATCAGCCACATGTGTTCTGGATGCAAATCATAATCATCTGACAATGGGTTCTGCAACCATTGTAAGTTCAAGCCAATTGTCAAGCACCCAAATGGCGATCACATGAGCATGGGTGTGCTAGGGCAGCTGGAACTTCCTGAACTGGTTGTAACCGCCACTTGTTCAGCACTGTCATAACTTTGAATGTTCACTGAACAAGCAGCATTAATCAATGACTTCTAAGCTATTAGAAACTTTCAGAACAATAACTTTGAAAATGTTTATTGAGTCTGCATTCAATCCTGAACAACAAATTACTTATTTTTATCCCACCTTTATTATTTTTATAAATAACTCAATACAGCATATACACATAATAATCCTTCCTCCTCCTCATTTTCCCCACAACAATCCAGTGAGGAGAGCTGGCTTGAGAGAAAGTGACTAGCCCAAAGTCATCCAGGTGGCTTTTATGTCTAAGGCAGGGGTAGGCAACCTTGGCTCTTTTATGACTCGTGGACTTCAACTCCCAGAATTCCTGAGCCAGCATGGCTGGCTCAGGAATTCTGGGAGTTGAAGTCCACGAGTCATAAAAGAGCCAAGGTTGCCTACCCCTGGTCTAAGGCAAGACTAGAGCTCATAAACTGCTGATTTCCAGCCTGGTGTCTTAATCATAGACCAAATTAACTGTTGTTACTTCAGTCAACTCTGTATGGACTTTCTATGATACGAGGGCAGAAAATATGTTCTATGTATTTGTTTAGATAAGAGATGAGATATGGAATAAAGAAATAACTGTAACCTTTGATGGGTGAAAAGTTACTATATATTTGTTTAGTGAAGGCTGAAAGTCACTTCCTTACATATTTTTGTCTCTATTATATTCTTATTTTTCTTTCACTTTTTATTCATTCTTTTTTCTCTTCTTTTAGTTTGTATTCGTTGTTACTTTAATAATCAGAATTGACACACAGAGTCATTATGAGATTTGAATTATAAAATATATGAAAGAAAAGTGAGTGAATCAGAAGACATCATGACTGAACAGAGTTGAAGATATTCTCAGAGAAGGGAGCGTTTTAAAGAATAAAAGGCAATATATGAAGCAGTATATGGAAACAATGGGAAAAAGGCTGGTTTACAAGTATAAAAAGGCAAAGAGAAATATAGTGAATAGCGCTACAGTGAATAGTACAAGGAAGAAAGGATAGTATTTTTCAAATACTTTAATTTTCCTTCAGAATGAGGAAGTTTCAGTAGGGGAGAAAACAAAAAACTGAGATGTCTCAACTGCTTTCAATAATATATGTAACTGTGCTAAATTCTTTACCCGCTCCCAGATTTAGATGCAATACCTATAATCTCATCAAAGTCACTGACTTATTGCAGTTTTTAACGTGACAGAATGAAAAACATTAAATGCACAAAAAACAATCATATTAATTGTACTATTTAGCATACTGTATCAGTCAAGAACCACATTTGCATCTTAGTCAAGAAATACAGCTCAAGCCTTATTTCAATAATACGTTCACAGAATTGATCTGTTTCTTTAAAACACATTTCTTCCTTGGATTATAGTACATAATAAAGAAATCCAAGATTTTAGTATATCTTTTGATTTTCTCAAACACAATGTTGTAAAGATTTTGTCTTTGGCATCCTATATGAACCTGGAAGCTCTAACTCAAATAATAATTGCCTACAAAATTATTTCAGTTTCAAAGAGTAAAGATCCACATCAGATTGTTACAATGTGTCTTTTAATTAAAAATATTTCATTTCAAAATGTATCTACATACCAAAATAATCCTTTCACTATATAGGTACCTCCATCTTATTTTTAACTTCCTAAGTTTTCTGCTATCATGAATACTAGCTAGCAACAAGTCTCATTTCTCCTACATGTATCTAATCCAATTTTAAGTCCATCACATTTTATTTGGCAAATTCTATAAACTATGTGTTAAGTAAAAAGTTAAGACAGTTGTGCCTTGAATTTATAGCTATTTGGTTTCTTTCTTTGTTTAGTACATTTTCATCATTTGAGGAGATTTTTCTGTTCCTTTTTTTTATCTAAAGCCCCATTTCACTGAGTTCATTGTAATATTGGAATGCTTTAATATTTTTCATTGTTATGTTGGCTTTTAACTGAAGTGAATGCTATCAATTCATACAGATATAGTTCTTAATAAAACTATT